TTTCCCCTAGTCCATTGCATTTGTACCACAAAACCGATAAACAGAAATGAACTTTTCTATGTGGGTCATTTTCCAACTAACGAGTTGTCCAAAAAAAAAAAGTTTAAGCTGGCACTTTTCCAAGAAGCTTACAAGTTCGCAAACTGCAGTACGAGTACAGAAATCAATTTTCCTAGAATTCTAAACAATTTATGACACATTCTTCCATGGAAACTTAATTTCGAGCACGCCCAGAGTTAAAAATGCAACTGATTTTAGTGCAACGAGTTCATGGAATCCGAAACCCGATCTGAATCATTGGCAGTGGGTCCTCCATGCGGTTGCTTTACTGAACTGCAACACCTTCGGGGTTGTTGGGCCAACCAAGCGGACATACCCATAAATCAATCAGGCGCACCGGTATTTTCCAATATGAATCCCAGCGTGTCCAGTTGCCGTACCCATATCATTGAAAGTAAAAAAAAAGGAATCCATATCCACATGCATTGCTTCGAGTGCTATTGAACTGAGGTTGCTGCATATTCACCGAACTTTCCCCATCTATCACGTGGCGGAAGAGTATTAAAAATATATTGAATAAATACCAATCAAATATTGAACATTGTTATGTTGTATTTTTTCAATAGATTGCATATAACTTAATCAAAGCAATAAATTCTTCAATTAAAACGAACACGTGTAAATTCTATTATTCCGTTTAATTGTCAAGCTAACAAAGTGCAAAATAAATAAAAAGACGCACACATGGGTTCGATTAGAATTTTTCTCCGTCTGACGGAACTGACAAAAAGAACAAGTTGACAATTTTAAAAAAACTGGTATGGTCTGCAATCGAATAAGAGAAAACGAATGTCCACTTAATTGATTTATCGACAGACTAAAAAAATGATTACTTCTTTGCGCTTTATTCAAATGGTTTTACACTAAATTAAAAAGACTGGCACTTTATTTATTAAAAATATAACCAAAAATGGGGTCAAAAATATCTATAAAACTCGATAAGATCATATCAATGATTTATTCAATTAGATGATGAAATCACGTGCTGCGGCCCCAAAAAGTCAACAAAATTAAGTCGCCACTCGGTACTCGGATATAAACAGAACCCAGATAATAGATAGCACCCTATCTAATCCAAAATGATTATCTGGCTTTGGTTGGAACTGCAGTGAATGGCCCGATAAAGTAGCGAATATAACGTGTTTAACGGGGGCGTAATTTATATTTGGATGGGAGCACTCCTCATATTAAAATGTACTGACATACATATTTGGCTTATTGGAAGATTGCTAGTCTCTTATCGCACTAGTGACGTATGTTCTTATCCAGCAAGTGCAAACTTGGCCCGCGCCAACCCAATTAACTTTCAATTATATCAAAATATTGGCTCTAAGCGTATTAGCAAAGTTGCCCTGATTTTCTCTCCATCAGTGCAGAAGGAAAATGTTTCAATTATTTTCTCATAAATTTTCAAACTTTTGCATATTTTCATTTGCGGCTGCCTTTACTTGCGATTTGCGATTGAGCGAAACCGCAATATCTTTTATTTCTAGAGGCTTTTGGCCTTTGGGTAAATCTACAATGACGGACAGCAAATATTTGCTTTAAATTTCTGTTTGATTGAGTGTCTCATTAAGTCCCAAATGAAAGTGAATTGAAGTATTAAAGGGGTAAGCCCAAAAGCAGTTAAGCGAAATTGCTCAAAAAAAAAAGGGGGAGGTGGTAAGAGCTTTCAAAATATTTAATATTTATTCCAACGGCTAACGAATTTTTGAAATTGTTGTAAACTAGAAAACAAATGCTTTTATTGTGTTAAAATATTTAAAATCACTTTATTTAAAGAATTATAAAAATACAAGGACATAAAATACATTTTCCTTATTTTCATTCGGAAAGCCAAATCAATCGTAGACATTTTCCTAAAATTCTATGTCAGTATCGATTGGACGGCTTCGAATATTTATTCAATCAATTATTTTTCAATTATAATTTTCACCCAAAATGCGCCTGTAATTCAATAAAAGTCCCAAACATGCAAACGCGATTTTCAGCTATTTAGTCACACGAAATGCTGTTTTTTTTCTTTTCTATAATTTGAATGGGTCTGACGTGTCCCCCCCCAAAAAAAAAACAACGAAATCATGGCTTCATGTAACACTTGGCACAGTTTTTATTTAAATTTATTTGAAGCAGAGCTGAAAATGGAAAGTGGGGCTAGAAGAAAAACATAAATCAGGTCGGGACAGACGAGACCAACTGCCTAACTGAGCCAGCTTCGTGTTCATTCAGACAAAATGCCCCACAAAATGAAAACGTTATATAAATCAAATAGCAGCCCGGCATAAAGGAAAATCATTTCGCGGGCACTTAACGAGACTACAGAAGAGACCACCAAATTAAACGAAGAATTAAGCAACGCTCAGACCCGCTATCGAGTAATTATTCAGACGGGCTGGACCCGAAACCATCATATCAATTCAAGTGATTATACTATGGACACGCGGCGTATGCGTAATATTTACGCCATTATTTATATCCAAGCTGGCTTTAAGATGCCCACCAGGAGCACTTCCTTGTTTATACATATGCATATACATTTTATACTGTTGTGGGTAAGGATGCCCATATCCCTCTGTTTGCTGCATGATTGAAAGCAAACAATGAACAAGGACAAGATACATTTATTTACTCTTAATTCGAAGGGAGCCACTTTCCTCCTTCCGCGCCATAAGCAATTTCAATAGCAATTGGGTTCTCCTTACTCTGCACTTGTTGATGGACTCCTGGCGGCGAAAGACTGTTCATTTCAATACAGCAAACATACTTTGGCATTACACAAAGCCGTCGGCTGTAGACTCCATTTACATTTGCATTTGCCAACACATTAGGCGTCTTATACTGCGGTATAACCAAGTCAAAACATTTACTTTATTAGTAAAGCGTAAAATAAAGAAACTTGTAAGACCTTTTTATATTCCATTTTTAGTTATAGCACACCTAGACATTATTTTTGAGTCTTTAATAAGGGGGCAAAGCTTTAATTTTTACGTAGAAAACTATACAAATGGGAAAAGCCTTCAATGACAACCTAATCCCCTAAACAACATATCAAACTGGATGGGTAAAAAAAAATGTTTTTCAAAGGGGTTTCTTTTTTACGAAATCCTCGACTTACAACCCACAACAAGTACTGATCCGTAACCGGAACCAGTTCGAGTTCAACACCGAAATTCCAGCCTCTGTGAATGTTTTACAGCTTAACAGCCACTTTAGAGAAGCTTAAAAGCCGGAGCGGAATGAATAAAATCCACTGCACACTTAGCCATAAACAAGTGTATGACATGACTATTCATGAATGGCTTTTCGTGTCACATAAAATGGCGTAAAGTGGCCATCAAAAAATTGACAGGACATCGAATGGAGGCTGGGGAGTTGGCCAACATCAATATGCCGCTAGGGAGCGTGGCCATTAAAAATTGAAAATTGAGAAAAACACATTTTGCACACACTGCACCATTTGCACTTGTATTATAATATTTTACCGTACATTAAATGTCATTTGGAATTTATGTTTTTGTGGCAAATATAAATACTGTGTAACAGGTCCCCACAGAATGTGCAATTGGCATTGGGGAATTTACCATCGATTTCATTTACAAAGTATAAATGTGGCAGGTGCGATCGCATGATAGTTGCACTTTTTGTTTTGTAACCATAATAATTATTGGGTAACAGTTGATTTATTATCAGTTATTTCACGGGTGTAATTGCTTTCTGGGTTGAGGCCTAGTCAGCCAAGAATATTGCATGCAACTAATTAAACACAGCCGCGTCTCAATCGAGACATTCACTTTGGCCACGGAAATGGTGGCAGCAGCGGCCCCAACAGAAATTGGTCTATGGCATTCTGGCCCATTTAGCCGCAGCCTTCGTATTGCTTTGTAAATGTGTTAGCCAAAACCGCAAATGAGACAGTTGCGGATGACCGAGAAGGATACGGAATTGGCCACTGAACGACCAGCTCTTTAAGCCACATTTGTATATGCCACTTCACTTATATATAACATTCTACCGCAACCCACGCAGCTCAACTCAAAATCGATAAGTCTTTTGCAAGCCTTCGACTGGCCTCATTGCCTATTTATCAATTCATTCTCGATTGGCACTGGATAGTCCGTGCAATTGATTGAAGACCCCTTACTTTTCCCTCCCCGACATGCATTCTTTATGAACTCAAGTGCCCTTACTTCTTAGAGATAGTTATCGCGTTTCTGCGTAAATCAAAAGGGCCAACCTGTAATTACCTCAAAAGGTTAACGCAATCAGAGGCATTTATACGTTATTTAGTAAATAAGGACAAAGGCGATTATGGGATAACAAGTTCTTTGGCTTAATTAGAGGCTCATGCTAAGTACATATGTCGAATTCAAAGTAAAGTTCAATAAAGAGCAAAGTCCAGGTTCTAACTATCAATTGACATTTGCAAATTATTGGTAAGCAATTCCTAGAACGGATGTCTAATGGCTATTTAGACATCCGTTCTAAGAATTGCTTACCAATAATTAGCAATTATTCTGAGAAATTTGTAAGCTGATAGTGTTAAATATGTTAAATTGTATTCTGTGTTCCGTTCACGTCGCTTCCCATTTTTGTATTGAATTAATGAGGCATACATGATATTATATAGGCTTCAAAACAATGATTGGTTTAAACTAAAAATTAGTAAAGTATATTTATTCTTAATCAGGATCACTTACTGTTTTTCTGTATAATTATTAATAACTATCCTAAGACTCGCACCAATTGCACAAATATTTGAAAAGTTATGGGTAACTTAGTTTAATAGACCTTTCATGGTCTGTGGTGTCACCCCCACCGCTAGGTGTCGCTCGCGTCATTTGTAAGGTCAGTTGATTTGGCACTAAACTAGATCGTTCCATATTGTTTTTTTTTTTATATTTTCTTTTTTTTAAAGAATTTTATTACAATACATTTTTACTCCAAGATTTATCAACTTGACCAACTCAAAGTTTAATGGCCATAACTCGGGCCATAGTGTGCGGCGCAATGGGTGCGAAGATCGGTAGTCCTTGAGCGTCCTTGTAGTCGGCATAGGCGAGGGAGTAGATGCATTGCATCCCAAGGGCTGCCTTCTGTCGGGCGGAAAAGAAGCTCGTGCAATAGGCCACCATCGCTGGGAATCCCTTAGATCGGCCAACCTCCATCAAAGTGGCGGCGAGTCGGGAACCCAATCCTTTGCCCCTCATCGATTGAGCGACACTGGTAATCTCGGAACAGAGCATTCTCGAGATTCCATAGTGCTCAAACACATTGGCCTCCCGTTCCATTTTTGAGAGCATGACGCTACTGCGGCCCCAAAGGTGCTGCTCCATGGCCTCCGCCTCAAGGCGATGACGTGCTACATCCTCGGGGAAATGGGCTCCGGCAAGAACGATTCCCACTATTTGTCCAGCGTTGCTCTCATCGAGGGCCACCAAACAGGTGCCCTGAGCAATCATCGACAGGTGATTTTCATCGTTCTCCTTCTCATTTTGCTGTTGAACGGATTCTCCGCTGAATTGGCAAAGAGGCTCCCACAAGTAAAAATCGTCCTTCATGAATTCGTTAACTTTCGCATAGTCCTCTTTGGTCATAACACGTATTGTGACACCATCCTTTCTCATCGTGAACTCTTGCCACTAGAATTGGAACTAAAGTTAAATTTACCTTTTCTGCGTATTTATACCCAAGATGAAAATTAATTCGGGTATAATTTATATTGAATTTTACTGATAAGCTGTTTCTTAATTACACTAGTGATCAAAACAAAAACACCTATAAAACTGTACTCTTATTTAAATTTAATAATCAACTTAAATTTTAATTTAATTTAATAATAATAACAGCTAGTACAAGCATTGGAAAATAAGTAATATGCATAAACAGCTCATCTCTGCACTACATATTTCAGATATACAAGAAGCCAAAAATTACATACAAATTGAAAACTAGTCTACTGTTTGTAGTAGTGTACTGATAGTCTGTGATTTTCTTATCGTTTAACCTAATGTGAAATCTAATCGGCCTAAAGAGCGACGCGATAAGATATATTTCTTTCTGTATTGAACGTCACTTCTCGAAAAAGTATGGCATAAATTAAATTTTTTATTGGAACCTATTATACCAACACGTAATATTTTTAGCCGGACTTGAGGCTCTTCTTTGAAGTTTTTTTGAAGTATAAATTAATGGATTATATTTACCAAAAATCGTTTTAATCTCACATTTTAAAAGTTATGAGTGACTTCCTTCGATGGTTAGTGCCGCGATTTGCTTATTAAAATTATTTCACAGAGTAGCTTGTATCTGATAGACGATGCACTTGATTATTTTTAATTGGAAATGTAAATCTTGTTAAATCCAATTTCCATAAATAGTTTCTTTAAAACTCCTTGAGCCTTAATTAGGATATATGAAAATTAAACCTCATTGACATTCTGCCACTGAGTTTGTTAAAGTCGAAAGTAAAGATTTTTCACACCCAGCTCTTCAATATTCAGAATGCAACATCTGTGCCACTTTAAGCTGCCAGCTGAATGGCATCTTTCATAGCACGGTTCCTTTGGCCTTCTGCCGCCACCCATTAGTGCTGCCCCCATTTCTTTTTTTCGGCTGCTATAAAAGCCTTTAAACCCAACAAATCGTTGCATAACCGTCGGCCAAAGCCTTTGGGTCAAATTCCAGTGCAAAAATAGTTTGCCAAAGTGAGTGGCATATGGATTTCAGGCAGCTTTCTCGATAATTGGCTGTCGGTATCCGACATGCATAATTTTCTGAGAACTGATCCCTTCGAGCATGCAGTTCGCATTGTCCCAAGGGCTCGGAAATTTCAATTATTATTAGTTTGAATGCGGTTGGGTTAATGGGAATTCAATAAGCCGTCCTTTTGTAACACAATAAGCATGGAAACGTCATTTAAGAAGCCATCGCTCGAAGGCGATTTAAATTCAAATGATATTAGCTTTGACCACGCTAATTAAAACAGCATTACATACATTGATCGATGGGACGATTGCTATATGTTGAATGCAAAACCTTAAATACACAGAGTGTGTCATATCAATTTATCCTCCGCTTGTTCACGTTTTCATCTCCTTGGCAATGCACTTAGGGTGCGACAAAAGCCGAATGTTTTTTTGGGTCAAACCCCCGCTTTCGCTTTTCCGCTTTTCCATTTTCCCGCAACAGTTTCCGCGTGCTCATTGTGTGCACTCACTCACAGCAATTGTCTGCGTACTGCTCATTTCGAAGTGGGTGGTTTTTAATGGGCATATTAGCACTTGCCGGAGACTCGTGAAGCTCAGGAAGCTGACAAGCGGATTGTTCTGCTCGGTGGGAAATCAAAAACTTGGCGAAAGTGGACCAAACAAAGCTAAGGCGTTCCCAAAAAAAAGATATACTTCCTGGAAGACAAAAGCGAGCGAAGCAATCATTAGGGAAACCTAAAACACTCCGAGAACTTGCTTTCCGCACTTGGCAAAAATGCTTTCAATTTGAATTTTAAAAATCACAGGCATCCCAATTACATACCTCAAGGTTTGATGTTTAAAAAAAGCGTTAAATAGTATTCTATTAATGATTGCTTATCGTCATAAAACAAATCCTAGCATACTTTTAGACACATTTATTATAAATTTCTAATCATTCAAGATTTTTAGAGAATTAGTGTAAATGGTAACACAATAAATCAACAAATGGAAAAAATCATTTTTCGTTATACTTAGAAAATCTATCTTCAATGAAACGAAAATCCCTTAAAATCTCGTATGGATTTTCTCTGTGTACCCTTTTTTGTACGAATTTCGTATTATCTTCTATACAATTTCGTGCTCCTTCCTGTTAGAAACTTGAAATGAAATCCAGAAACGAGTTTACATAAATATGACCAACTTTCATCACCGTTCATTGTGCCACACGGGAAGCTTGACAAGCGCGTGTATAATCTTTCAGCTAGCGCTGTTCATCCATCTATCTTCAGTACCCGTATTACCTGTGCCAGAATGTCAGGCCAAGACAATTGCCATTGTTCACGTGTTGCGCTTGGAAAAAGCGGTAGGAGGAGATGGGAAGGTCGACCTGGGACATTTTATTATTATGACGAGTGCAGAGCGTGTCAGCAAACATGCGACAACGTACACACTACGCTCAAGTGCTGAGCTTTTAGCCATTTTTCTCAGTTTTTAAGTTGGAATTAGAGGAAACTTAAAAATTGCCTCAGCCATAAATTTTTTAAGAACTCAAATCTCCTTAACCCACAAAAAATGTAATATGTTTCTGATTCAAAGGATCTAATTTTACAAACACTTTCATAATTTTACAGTTCTTATATGTTTGTTCAGACTAGGAGCGAAAGTGACAACTTGCTGTCTAGAGTTTTTTTTAGCTAAGAAATATTTATATATATGATATACATATACCGCTGAATTTATATCGCACTGCAGTATAAGTGGCTAAGCAATAACAGTAGTAATAATAAAAACAAAGTCTAAAAAAGGTGTCTAAAAGTATGCAACAAAATATTTTAAGCAGTGAACACACTGAGTTCTTGAGGAAAGACGACTATCCTTTGCCTAATTTTACACACCTAATATTTAGTTGAACTCTAATATCCCCTCTAGTGAAATTTTTTTTAAGTTTGTGTATGGGAGTGCCTATTATATTGTTCCTAATTTGCATGTTTTTTTCCGAACATAGCCATTTTAGCCTCTAATTGTGGGCAACACTTTTTAGCAAATAACCCGCGTTCACACATTCTCCCAAAGCGCCCACTCGCACGGCTTAGTTCATAACGGTAATTCATTCGCATCACCAACAGCTGCTGCTTTTCAGAGGCAAATAGAGGCGTGGCAGGTGGGAGGCGGTGTGGGGGCGGGTGGGGGCGTGGCAGATCGGACAGAGGCAAGTGGGTGGCAGGTCAGGTCAGGCAAACGTGTCAGCAGTTTTAACTAACTGCATGTGTAATTTTAGCTGCATCCGATGTCCTGTCATCAGTTCAAGTCAACCATGGCGTATGTGCAATTTGTTAGTGATAAGCCAGCTCACTGGAAGCCGAGTGCTTGCCACTTAATGACCTTGCCACGCCCCCCTGCCCCTGCCCCTGATTCATACCAGTGCCGAGATAACCACAAGCCTTCAGGAAATTTAATCATAGTTGACACTAATTTATAGGCTTGACAGCACAAAATACTTGTTGCACACTTTCCGACAGGCGAAATTGAAGGGAAATTCTAATGAAAGGGTTCAGCCGTTCCTCCTTTCGGCACTTTTAAAGCATATTTTTAGCTTTAACCTTACACATTTATCCGAAAAACAGGGGGGGGGGGGGGGGGGAATGAAATAAAAAGACAGAGCCTGAAGTGGGTGTTTCGCATCTAACGACTTTAAGGCACGTTTAAATGAGCAAATATTGACCAGGTTATGTGATGGCCAACGAATGGGGATAGAAGGACCAAGGATGTAGGACAGGAGCAGGTGCTCGGGCAACATTTTGACTAATTGACCTGCGGCCACCGGATGATGGCAGAGATAATCCCGCCCCGAGTGCGAGTAGTTCCATGCGGACGTACCGACCCCAAGGCAACCTATTAATAAAGCCAGAGAAATTCTCACGCTTAATTAAGCTATCGATTTGTGTCTGAAAAAAATCAAAGAAGAAATAAACGAATTGAAGTTCGCAGGCGATTTGAAAGCGAAAACTGGAAGACAAATTGTGGGGAGTGCGAACAAATGGGAATCAATCGATAGTGATTTGTTACTAAGCAGAAAATATTTTCTAATCACTACTAATCACTGTACCTTGCAAGACCAAAACAAGAACTTTAAAGAATATAAATACAAAAGATATGATTGAAAAGGCAAATTAAAAGAAAACATTTTTCCCTGATACATTTAAATGTTTGTAAAACATTTATCAATTATTCTTTAGTAAAAGTTTAACAAGAACATTTTTATGACAATTTTTTCCTGGAATTAGGCATTTGTCAACGATTACAAATTAATTGCCCGTGATATTCTGCATTTATAAACTCTCGTTAATTATTTATGGCTTTTCTGCTAAGCCAAAATTAATTTCAATAAATTACAAATATAATTGAAGTCAAATAGTAGTATTGAAATTAAAGTAATTGAGTTTCGAGTGGTACAATAAATTCAATATCACTCCTTTTATTTGTTCAACGTCGTAATCTGTTACCAAACCAAATTCATTCGGTGTAGTTAAGCTACTCAAACGAGAATTCCAAACTAAAGTTGCCAATCATTTGAATAATTTCCGTTGAACCGAAAGTGCCGGTTGGCCAAACACAAATGCATTTTCACTCTTGTCTAGACACTTGTCATAGCTTGGGTATAAAAAAAAAACACATGGTAAACCCCTCATTCTGATCCACTTGTGATAGCAATGGACTTTGGTTTGTCAATGGCAAGTGGGAAATGAGAAATGGAAAATGGGTACCGGACTGAAAGTATTGTCCGTACTGCTGTTATCCCACCTGTCAAAAGAGTGGGTCCCTCTTTTCCACTTGACCCCCAATGAAAGCGAACAAATATGGAAAGTAATGGCCCGATTAGTGAACCGTACTGCGGGATGCCAATGACACTAGCCATTCAACGATGCTAAGTTTAGAT